GGTGTTTTGTCTAAATTTTATAAACCATAAACAAAGTTTTATTTATATACGCCAGTAAATTACAACTATAAAAGCAAAAATGCCTTGCTTTCAGAAAATGCTGCTTTTAAAAATACAGCTTTTACTTTTGTCCTAAATTTTCTGACAGACCCGTGGAATAGTTAATAATGTTTTTCCAAAAATAATAAACATTTTGTTCAGGGTTCAAGTTAGTCAAGTCGGTATCAACTGTTGGTTTATAGGTAGTTTCTTGCATGTTTTACACTGTGATGGACCTGTGGGGGGTCATACAATTCAGTTTCACTTAATGACGACTAAGCAATGGTCCTCACTCACATAACAACTTTTTACAATCGTAAAATGAGCATATTCATTTGACAAACAATGGTGCTCATGTGCAACCCCCTCACTGTATAAAATTTGCGTACTCCAATATGTAGCTTTTTTTTCAACTGATTGGCTTCAACTCTATTGCATTAATCCAGCTCGATATCGATCACACCCTGGACCTTTGCGGGGTTGATATGGTTGACTTTAGCCTCCTTGAATATGCCCAGGAACTCATTTAGTTGTGCTTTGTTTGTTTTTTCGTCCGCTACCACTATAATATAACAGAAGGCTCTGGCTCTCGAAATCACATTGTATAAATAGCGCAACATCTTCGTGTCCATGTCTGAGAACACTACATTAATGAAGCAGGCTGCGAATTCAGTGGAGTAAAAGTTCTGCTCACGCGAATTGACGGCTACACCAATTTTCGTTCGAAGATTATTTATTTGTTGCACGAGATGCGTGTAAAAAGGGTCTTCTTTTGGATCAAGAACGAAAAATTTTGATGTAAAATATTTTGCCTTATTAAAAAGCGAAAGAAAATCAGACATTCTTTTTAGACAATTTTGAAAAACTTCGTTTAGTTGCTCCGTTTTGTTCATTGGAACAGTATTGTGCATGATGTCAATGATAGTTTGAGGTCCATAAATCATATGACCGTGGCTAGGATGATGTGACAGCTCTGGAGGGCACATGGCAAAGTTATTCTGCTCAGTATCTTTGCGTTGGATGACTTCTGACAAGCTCCTCAGGTTTGCCACTATGTTCCAAGAGCTGCGGTAGTTGTGGGTGAGCGTGAACAGATCAAAACCCTTCCACATTGAGCTATTCCAGAAGCCGAGTCCAATTTGGTCACGCGCAAGATGGCACTGGTTGAAGTCAACTGCAACATGTGCATTGTGTCAAGGAAAGGTTGAAGTCACATGCATGAGCGTCATCAACATAAATCACTACCTGGCTTAGTTCCTTGAGAAACTGATTTTTTTTTGTGTTATCATTTCGTGTGCTGCAATGAATAACTCCAATTACTTTGCCACAAATCCGGATCGAATTCATCTTCCGACACGTCCATAAAACTTATTTCGGCTTTTTCAAAAATGTGTTTGTATTCGACAAATTTGAGCTGGTTGAAAACCAGGAGGACCATTTTCTGTTCAGTATTTGTCAATGCTTGGCGCAAAAACCTCGCTAGAAGCATCAAACTTTTTCCAGAACCCGCACATCCAGTAATGACTAACTGTGCTGATTCCTTTTCGAAAGCTTCCTGCTGATTTTTTGTGATGTACTTTATACCCAGGATGTTGTTCAAAATTTTGGTATTGTTTATCTTAGCAGATTGCAACCTTTCTGTTTTCACAACATTCGAATTGGGTAGTCTTTCCTTGTTACTACTTTCTATAGTTATTTTGCTCGCTCTCAACCGTTTGTCTGTTTCACTTATGCCACTCCTCAGGCCGATCGAGGAGCTGTCCAAAGTATCCCCATTTGTTGCCCAGAGCATCCAAAGGACATGTTTCATCTTTTCAAAGTCTCATGCAGGGTCTTGCTCTGAAACTGAAACTGAATCTTTTTTCTCTGTTACATTTTGTTGCCACCAATTTGCGAACTCCCCCAAATCATCCGCGAGTATGAATTGAATGTCAGATTGCTGCTCTTCGACAAAATTGGTGTTATTCGATATATTGTGATAGTTAGGAAAAGCCACGAAACGAAAAACTTTAAATGGTTTTATTTTTGTTTGCGATCTAGCTTTCGACTCCAAACTACTCAGATTCGTATCTGCTTCCAAGTCGGAAGTTTCTGCTGGAACAGACTCTACCGCCATTCTTTTGATTACTTGCGTTATTTTATCCATCTGTTTGGCTGCCTTTTCTGTGAAACTCGAAATAGACTCACTTTTCACTGCGTTTTTCACTTCAATTAGAACAATTTAGTCTGGTCCAAGTAAACAAAATCGAGCTCGCCTTTGTCAGAGCTCTTCCTATTTATACATTTTGATCATTCCTTTTGGTTGTGATTGAAATCCCATAAAGCATACTGAAAATGAGTGCACTTTAAACTGTGAATCGCGACAATATTTTGGCCTTTTAAGTTTTCAAGCGCCTGGTAAATTTTTACTTCTGCTTTGTAGTCTTCCTGTTTTTTTTTTGTGTCAGAAGATATTTATATTTATATCAAAATTTATATTGATGTTTAGCAAAATGGAATACGACCCAATTTTAAACTGGAATTGCAGAAACGCAGACCCAGCACCAGAGGAGTTCAAAAGAAAGCTGCCCCTCAGGAAGAAACAACGGAAACCTCTAGCAGTTCAATCTTTGTCAATAGACGACGGGTTAAATAAGAACCCTCGCAACTTTCCCAGTTTAACCCAAAGACTGGAGCTGCAGAAGTGCAGAGAAACCAAATTGGATACGGAAAATCCAAAATATATAACGAGTTTAAAGTACTCAATAAAGGAAAATTTTAACAGATGGAAACTGCCATCGTTCATTGAAGTCGTTAACTCAACGACAATGGAAAAGGCGATGATGCCTATCGACTTCATAACCCAGCCAGAAGGGGTTATAAAGAACGAAAACAACTTCTGGAAATTAAAGAAGAGGGAGGAACACGGCTACATCCTCAAGGCAGGAGGCACGCAAGTCACCATTCCGTTCGAGGGAATAACTGCTTTTCCGAACCATGAAAAAAACAGACAGGAAGAACAGGACGACATTCAACAACTTACGGACGGAATGAGCAGACTACGAATCAAAAACAAAATTAAAAAGAAGAAAATCGTGAAGTTGCAACAAAAACTTGAGGCTTCACAGAGGAAGATAGCGATCCTCAGATCGTACAATGTGGAGCTTGAATCCGGAAGGAAGCTCTAGATAAAACCTAACTTATCTTTATAACTTTTTCGTTTGATGTTCTCTTTAAATTTTATGACTATAGTATTTAATCATTAAAGTGTTTAAATTTTCACCATGGTAACTGTAAGAATCGAACAGCTTAATTTTCTAAAAAAAAGGGGTGAGTTGTAGTATTGCGAAATACTACACACACACAAAAGACCATTGTCTTAATTGTTTATTTAACGACCCAATTCTAAATTGGAGCGTGCCATTTAAATTAAAGCCTCTTTTCACTAAATCAGATATTGACTGATTTACTCTTATTAGGACTATAAAATCTTGTTTTGAAAATCCACTCCTTTTTAAATACTTGTCCAATTTTTTCTCATTTTTTCATGCTCAATATTTTAAAAGGGCGGCGATTATAAATACGTCCCTTTTAACTTAACTTGAAACAAACTGGATAAATATTTAGCAGTCTTGCCGGCTGCACTGAAATTCTCCTTGCTTTGATTAAGCAGAGGTGCACCTGCAATATGATGCATCAGAGAGAGTAATATGAATTTTTAATAAGACAAACTGAAGGCTGCGGTTTTTATCAAAGGGGACTAATAAGTTGAAGATATTTGATTTGAAAAAATCAAATAAAAACTAGTTGAAAATTCCCTTATTAAAAAGGGAGAACAAAGGAGCAGATGAAACCTGAATAATTAAAGATTGAATCAGCCGCCGGTTTATGCTTATGAGCAAAAGGACTGGCCTGAAATCTTCAGTGTTTCATTTTGCTCAGTCAGCAGCAAGTCATTTCTCTTCAGTCAGATCTTTTAAAAATAAATAATTTTTCTTTTCTGCCCTAACACTAAAATTAATCTAGCCCTTTTCATTTATAAAAAGAGAATAAATTCTCATCTTAAGTTTAATTTGAAAAATTATAAATCGAGATAATCGAGATACGCACCCCCGAGGAAGTCTGGACTACAAGTACCCAAAGGACTACGGCAAGACGATTCAGACGACCCAACCAGAAGTGCTGACTTGGACAAACATCAAGGGCAACCATACATACTAATCAGCCACCGACCTTAGTAAGAAGATAAAATATTGATGAACAAAATAAGATTAGCTCAACCTCCTCTCATAGGTATATTTCTTTAAGCTGTTCGATTCATTTATATAATCTAATAACCCAGTGCTCTGTATCTAACCAACTAATTAATTCATACCTTTTCTAACTATTGTTTCTACTCTACTTTTTGTCAAGACAATTTGACGATCTAAGGTGAGACTTATAAATTAGGATAAAATTACTAAGCATTCAACCAGCAATGAGCGCTTAGTAAAACTGGTACGACCGCAGCAGAGAACTACTCCTTAAGAAATTCTTTTTCCAACAAACTAGAAACAGCTTTTAAAATTCAAAAAATATATTATTATTAGGATCTGTGAGTATTTGTCAGATTAGTTTTCAACCTCAAAAAGCCAGAGACAATGGGTATCTTTCGATAGAAACACAATTTCATTGTCTTCTACTTGACAGATATTCCTGGTAGGGTTCTTGCGAAATGCATCCCCTGCGCTAGCAGTCGCCCACGATATCCCTCCATCTCGAGGTCTATTAGACGGCTTTCTAACTGACATTAGCTCATGAACTTAACTATTATCTTTTATTATAATAATATAAAAAATTTCTGAAAGAATCGTTCTCTGCCTAAGTCCGCTAGTAAGATATACCCGTTTTGTCCAGTAATCCACTAAATTTTTGCCGAAACTTCAGTTTAAAGTTATCATCACTAAAATTAACGAAATTCTGTATTAAACTAAAGTGCTCAAAAACTTATTAAATATCTTCAATTATTTTTTCGAGGGGGTTAAGTGGTCATATGTGCGATCTAAGAGTACCCTAAATTGTATGATAAATTGAATTCTTCATCACATTATCTCAAACCATCCACGCTTGTTGCTATTTATTCTAATCCTTCATCAATTCTCGAGGCTTATCCTCAACTTTTCTTAAACTCATTTTAATTCTATCCACCTTAACATAACTTAAACCTAAATCATCCATCAGTAAAGCTACCAATTACTGAAACTAAGGAAGAAAATAACAAAAACCAAAAAGGAAGGAACGGATTTGAGTGTTTTTTGATAAATCATTAATTTTTTTTGACACAGTTTAAATATACACCTAATTAACAATAAGATTACGCACTAAAACCAATCTTAAACGTTAACCACATAACACCAAACACCAAGTTTTAGTTTCAGCACAAAAATATCAGGTTTCACAACAAAAACTAAGTTTAAAACACTGACACATCCACTTTATATTGATAAAATAGGTTTCATATGATAGCATAAGCACTAAAAAATTGATTTTTACCAGCCAAAATTTTTGGTTTCAGTCTAGGTTTCAGTTATAGGTCCAAACGTTTCAGTTAAAATAAGTATAATTTCCGGTCAAAATTTCAAGTTTCTGTAAACGGATTCGGGTAAAACAGCAAAAGTTGAACTAGTCAAACCCAAATTTGGATACCATAAACCAAAAACCTGGTCTTAAATGGTACGTTTTTGTTAGTTTCAGGTTTCAGAACACAAAAATTGAGTTTTTGGTCTCAAAATTGAGCTCCGAACGCCGAATTTTGACTTTCTAAAGAAAACTAACGGTGTTAAAACCCACCAAACCAATTTTAAATTTTGGTTCCTAAGGCTGAAACGTACGTTTCAGAATTGGTGTTTTTGGTTTCAGAACCAAAAATCTTGCTTCCCAAGAAAAATTTTTGTAAAATATTGAAAGATAATAAGAATCTTTAATGCACTAACAAATTTTTAAACTCAAAAAACTTCTAGAAGGTGTTAGTTTGAGCCCTCAAACTTATAGTTTCAGAAAACTAAAATCGTCGTTTTAAGCTAAAATTTTCATCTTTTTGGCAATTTTATTGCTGGAATAGAAATATATTAGGGAGACCAACCTAAATTTTCAATCTCAAAACTCTAAAACCAAGTGGTCAAACCATAGTTTCAGTTCTAGAAATCATAGTTTCAGCCGCAAAAACTTAGGTTTCCGCAAACAAATTTTTGATTTTGAAGTTACAAACCTGTTCAAAATTCCAATTTACACTAGACCAGCTATCAAAAACCAACTTTTTATTTTCATGCAACGAGTTTGAGAGAGTTTAAGAGTTTCAGGTTTGAGTTTTCAAAAACTAAGTTTAAGATATCAAAAGATTCAGTTTTCTCGAATTTTTTTGCAAGATAAAGCGAAAACCAGATATAATAAAGCGTATAGAAAATTTTAAGATTAAAAAAAACTCAACTTCAGCTACCATAGTTTCAGGTTTCAGATTATCGTTTCAGTCAAAAAATTTTCTATAAATTTTTAACAAAAAAATTAAGTTTTGAACCAATAATAACCAATAAAGGCATATAGTTATATTGTTAACCATACCATAGCATCAACAAAACTTCACATGAACAAAGTTTTAGGTTTCAGTTAAGGAATCAGCAAATAAAAAACTTGAAAAACTTTGAAAAAACTTTAGAAAAATTTTGTTTTTCCAAAGAAAATTTTTATTTCCTTATCTTATTATTAATAATCTTTGTTAATATTCAAAAATTCTTAAGAGGTTTTCATTACTCTAAGACATACTAATCAAATAGTACAACTTGGCTTAAGAAAAAGAAAACAAACATCGTGAAATTAATGTCAACACATTTTAAAATTGACGTCAGTACAATAAATTTAAAGCTCAAATTAGGAAATAAAGTCTCTAACATCATATGGTATATCACTAACACTGAAAAAAATCATATTAGTATATTAGCAAAACACCCTAACGAAGATAAACACGAATTATACGTCTTCTTTCGTCGATATACTCCAGAAATTGACACAATTCTTCAGCAAATAAAAATACCAAATAACATAATTTGTATACCGGAAGAGCGATTAATTGCTTCACTCCCGATTGCTTTCTGATATCATAATATACCCAAGCACAAAACTACTTGCATTTTAATCATTTTTAATTAAAAACACCAAATTTTCCCTAACAAAAATTAAAAATAATAAGTTCATAAGAAAAATTTAAATATTTTTTATATTGTTTATCATTCCCTAGACAAATATTTATGTCCCTAAAAGGATGTAAAATGCTATGACCAACTTTTATCAAGTAAATACAACAGCATTTAATTTAAAACTAAAATTGAAAAATAGATCCACAAAAATTATTTGGTATATCACCAATATCCAAAAAGATCAAATCACAATTTTGTCCAAACACCTACACAAAAATATTCACGAATTAACCATTCTTTCCAGCAGCAATACCCCAGAAATAACTTCCATCTTAAAAAAGCTTAATCAGCCCCATAGCACTATTGATCTATCTAACAAAAATTCGTATTCATTGAACCCAGCAAACTTCATTGTAACTTAAATACAATTATTTCAGTCCGAACAATTGATCAGTACACAACACATCCAAACCCTTTATATATTGTTAACAAAACATTGGGTGAATTAAACAAAGATGGCAAACGTAGTAGCATACCCAGATTTAGCTATCGAAAAGTTTACCGGCTTAGATCCGAATGAAGATGCAAGAGATTTTCTTGATATAGTAGAGAAAAAGATAGCATTTTCCCTAGGCACTAGACCAGGAGATGCAGGTGACGAACAAGACGCATATGATAACAGACAAAGAGCCTTATTTGGTTCAATATTAAGAGGTCGAGCCGCTCAATGGTATCAGGGATTAGCAGCAAACTTACCTTGGAATGATATAAGAGATCAATTCATAGATAGATTCACTGATGATAAAGATAAGTATAGGAGACGAATAGAAGCAGAAAACATAAAAAGACAACCCGATGAATTCATTAAAAGCTACATACATAGATTAAGCACCGCAGTAGACCGTGGATGGCCTAATCCAACTTTTAATGATGATCAAAGAACAGCAAAGAAAATGGAATTCTTTGTACGCGGCTTAAGCCCGCCAGGCTTGAAACAAAAGGCTCATCAATTCCTAATTGAGAATCCACCCGCAACTTGGCAACAATTAAAAGATCATATTGCTACAAAAGACTTAAGTTTTGCAATAAGTAGTGAATTTATCGGAACAGCATCTAGTAGCATAGAAAATAAATTGGAAATAGAGGGAATAAAGAATCAACTTAAAGAGTTAACAGGACTAATGAAGGATCATAAAATAAACGCAGCCTATAATCCACATGAGCATAGAAACAAACAAAACAACCCAATGTTTTGCAACTGGTGTTGCATGTCAGGCCACACGATAAGCCATTGCTTTAAATATAACGATCAACAGGAGCAAAATTATAACTCGCTTCAATTAAGAGAGAATTCAAACAGAAGTCACCATAACTATAGTAAGAATAGGTCAAGAGTAGACAACAAATTCAATGACATAAATCCCCAACAAGAATTCAAGCATTTGTCAAACTTCAATGAAAGTTCTCAACCGCGTGACAATTCGAACAGTGAAAAATCCTTCAACGAAAATAACGATTGTCATTCACCTTACCAGATCCACAACTTTAGTGATGATGACATTCCAGGAGAGTATACCGATAATGAGTGTGAACTTGTTAATTTAAACTAGATCAGTCTCCGTCTGAACCAAAAATACAATTGTATATTAACTTATACCAACATCCCGTCGGAGACAAAAATAAAAATAACGGTCTGGAAACCCAATTTCTAGTAGACACTGGAGCAACATGTTCGCTTATTAATTTTGACAGTTATGAACAATATTGTAAAATACAGCCTTTACAGCTAAATAAATCTAAATCAAACACAGTTGCTGTTAATGGAGAAAAACTTAAACTTATAGGTTATACTAATTTTGATTCAACTTTTGGTACAAACACTGATAATCCGATAAAAATCAAAGCATGGATTTCAGCCGAGAACGGATGCGATCAAAATATATTAGGAATGGATTTCATTTCTCACAACATTAAATCAATAAACTTTCCAAATTTAAACTTAGAATTAAAAAAATACCCAGATATAACAGTTCCTATCAGTATTATAAGAAGCAAAAGTTATCCATATCTAAGCTTTTATCAAAATGTATTTCTTGATAAAAATATAACTATTGCACCAAAATCATCCCGCGTAATTTCAATTTCTCCAGCAGGCATAGTTTTCAAAGTAGGAACATCGTTTAGAATTGATAAGTCTTTAGAACAAAAAGGCATTAATGCAAAAAGCACTTATTGTAGGAATGAAATTAAGTCAATGCCTATCGTACTAAAAATTCCAGGGAATCAAAAGTAGACATAAACAAAGGTGTAATAGGTCAAACATTTGAAAACATAGAAATAAAATAAACCCATTTCTTCCCTTTAAAATAATTATAAATATGAAGTTTCCATTAAAACTTTTAGAACGCTTTAAGTTTGTGAAGTTTACCTAACATTTTGTATAGTGAGCAGTAAATTTAATTTAATCTTACTAAAAAACAAGATTACGAGTTTTGTCCTACAAATATACTACAATGAAAAGCGGTTCTGTATGACACCAAAAGGATATGCCAAAATGCATGAACATGGATTTAATTCTTAATTGAGATTGAAAACAGTCAAGTACGCTAACAATTTTGGACCATCCTCAAAATCAAATAAAGATAGAGGGATCGGAACCCAATGGCTCAGACAAAAAAAGTTTTTCGACTTCAACATATTTGCAAAAAAATTGCAAAAGGCCAGGAGTTTAAAACATTAAAGTTTTACGAGTCTATAATAATTTCATTTTCAGGCGGTTTTTTTAAGTGAAAATTCAGTATTACTCATAAGGGAATGTCAAATTACC